CTTTTTTTTTTTTCTTCCATATATTGCTCAATTACACCATAGCCTACTGTAGAACCACAGACAGCAATAATTTTATCAGTTGTAACTCTGAAACTGTGCGTCAGATTTCATCTTCATATCCAGTTTTGAATCCTTATCCAACCAGGGTTTACGTTAGCATTGAGGGGACAGATTTCCCCATTGTTGCTTTAACGCTTTGTTGCTGTCCATTCACTTCACACTAGTAGCAGCTGCAGCTTTCACCCCTACAGTATATTCTCAAAAACATCAGGAAAAATGTGCTGCTTGAATGGTCTTTTTTATGAGTAATTATTAAAAGAAAAATAGGAAAGTAGTCTTTAAGGTGCAAATGTTTTTTTTTTATTTTAATAATTTTTTCCATTTGAAATTCCATTTCAATACATACTAAAAAGGAATACTGGAATCCTGGAAAATTATACCAGGCAGGTTTAACAAACAAGTTACATGAATATTAAAACCGTCAAGAACAGGGGTCTTCTATGTTTTCCAGACCAAGGACCCCCAAACTGATGGCGAGATGGAGCGGGGACCCCCTAACTATATATATTGTATGAAATTGTGTCCTATAGTCACTCTATTACAGATGGAGTAATGTAAAGAAATTAATTTCTCCCTTGGATTATTAAAGTTTTTCTGATTCTGATTCCTGGTTGTTGTGAAGGAAACGGTGCCCAGCTTGAAAGAGCTCCTGTGTGTCGCTGAATGTGTGCATTGATGACTGAAAGACATAATTTGTCTCCATTTTCTGTTTACTACAGTGTGTTGATTTCATGTTAATGAGTATTTAAAGACATTTCAATTAGTTGGGGAAAAAATTGCAACTTTTATTTTCATTTTGTATACAAAATAAAATTTTGTTTTGTACAATGACATTTCCACTCTTTAAAGTGCAGCTATGATAAAATCTGAACAGTGTGGGAGAAAAAAAAAACATGGGGCAAAAAACACATTGATATGAAAGTTCAGAGCATTATGGTGCAAATATGCAGTGGTGTTAGTGTGATGCAGAGTCTGTCACAAATCTAGCCTTTATGGAAGAAAGCCATTTCTTAAAGATATCCATATTTTTTTTTTTTTTAGTTTTCCACAAGCCACTTGGGAGACACAGCAAACGTGGGAGAAGGTGCTCTGTTCAGATGAAACCAAAATCTAACTTTTTTGCACCAACACGAAATGTTCGGTTTGTTCTAAAAGCAATGCTGCTAATAACTCTCAACACACCATCCCCACTGTTAAACATGGTGGTGGCAGCATCATGGTTTTAACCTGCTTTTCTTACTTTCACAAGGCACTGCATTCCTCATCACAGAAGTATTTCAGTCATGTTTTCTTTTATTTATTTATTTTTCTCTGTTCTTTGTGTTTTAGTTTTATTAGCATGTTATTGGCCACCTAATTACTGCACAGGAGTTTTGAATATCTGTTCCAGCTTTTGTCCCAAAAAATTTTGGATAGCTTCCTGTTTTGATCTTTAATTTTATATTTTTTTCTACATTCATACTGTATTAATGCTCAGTGTGTCTCTTACTGTTTTTAAAAGTTTTTTTGTATCTGGTTCCTTGGCGCATTTATCTTTTAAGCTTTATTAATTTGACTTTATTGATCTCACAGTGGAGAAATTTACTCTACTACGCTACTTAAGTGAGTTCCCCAAATAACAATGCAATTTCATTAAAAGCACTTACTGGTAAGTAAAGAAAAAAAAAAACATTCCTTTATTGCCTAATGTACACAAGATACAGAAGAATTAGATGATCTCAACAAAGTAACGCAGGATCAGGCATAATGGACCTTAAGGAGACAAGGAGGGCACCTAACCATAATCAAAGGATCTATTTTTTCTGTCTGTCAATCAAATAAAGGTTCAGGGTCACAGCAGGAACTGTTTCTTTCTGTAGCCATCAAAAGGCCAGAAGAGGAGGCCCACCTAAACAGGTCACCAGTTTATCACAGGATCAACCATATGTCTATACTTTTATTATTATCTGAACATCTCTTTGGTAAATATTCCACAGGAGGAAGGTCACACTCTTGCATGTTCAGAGCTAAAATCTTCATCAAGTAAACATGATTTCATGAATCACAGTTTGAATGACATTAAAACAATGCTTTGAGAGAGTTCCTTTCCCTGTTGATAAGTTTTAGCCTAATTTAAAATGTTTACTTGTTGTTTACTGATATGTTTCAGCTTTTTACAAACTAAACTCAATTGGCAGCATCTATACTTTAGAGGTTATGTCATGATTCCTTAAACATTAGAGGAAGTTTTAAAATAATAAAAAGAAGTTTGTTTGTTGTGTTCTGACTTCTCTTAGAGATGGTAACAAATCACTAGAGCTGTTTCTTATTCAGACTAGAAGCATGTTTACCATCTTTGTATGTGAATATCTGTTTTATATATAAAAAAAAACCTATATTTGTTTAAAAGGGATTTAAAAAACAGAAATTATAAATCAGGTGCAAAATATGATTTTCTTCTGTATTTCAAATAATATCTGTCAAACAATTATGTTGTAGTTGTTAAAATTGTTTCTATCTTTGGATCCATAATAGTTTAGGTGTCTCTCTTTCACAGTGCAAAACCTGGACATTTAATGGTTTTTATTTTGATTGAACAATTATTTTCTTTTTTGCAAGGTATTTGTTTTGTGGAACCCAAACACCGAACCCCGAACACAGATCAGGACGATATATGCCAGTGTGTATGAGTAATGTTCTGCATTAATGTTCTGCTCTGTGTTTAGTGTGACTCAGCCTGAGATGCATTCACACCTCACTAGAGATGAGGTCATGATGAGCATTTTTGGTATTTAGAACAGAAATGTGGAAGGACAGATGATGGTAGATTTTGCAAAGAGGATGTGAATACATCTAGTGAATACTTCTCTTCAGTAGAAGTAGGACCAGAATGAGTTACAAGAGCTGATATAGAAGCACGTTGATGGATTACATCTTATGTATATGATATAAAATAATGCTCTGAACTTCCATATCAATGTGCTTTTTTGCACAATGTTTTTTCTTTTTTTTCTCCCACACTATTTACATTCTATCACTGCTGCACTTTATGGAATGGAAATGTTCATTTCACTGATAAGCTGCTTCTCATTTACCGTCTAAAAAATGTACAAAACAAAATTGTATTTTGTATACACTGTATACAAAATGGATCAATATTGGGGATGGATCAATCTTTAATGAGCTTTTGATGGAACAAAGCTTTGTCTGTGTTGTGCTTCTGCATGCAACATCACTACCTTACCCAGTCATTGACCATCTAACACAGTAGGTATTGACAGAAAGTTCATATTTTTAAATGTGAACATAAGAATAGAGCAAAGAGCAAACTTCCTCTTTGCTCTATCGGCATGTGTACTTGGCTTATTGCTGTTTCACTTCACTTTATTTGCCTGATTTGTGCCATTAGCATCATTGACCATCAATTCACTCCTGAATGTATCTTTAAATTGGAAAAAAATATATAAATCATTTTAATCTCTGCGGTTAGTGTGTACTCACCTTAATAAAGAAAGCATTTCTGAGAGGGCATACAGTGAATTTGAATATGTCAGCTGACTCTGAACTGAATTTTCCACCAGGCTGGGTTTTTTATTTTTATTTATTTGTTTATTTGACAGGGACAGTACAATTAAACATTGCAACCAAACAGGTGGCCGATGTCCAAGTACATAAGGCTTGTAGCCATGGGCTAATTTGCAGCCTTCGTCCCTGGTTAGGCTTTTAAAAGGTGTTAGCATTGAGGGGGAGGGAGGTTAATAACGACACACAAATGCATAAAAACACACAAAAAAAAACAAAAAAAAAAACAAGAGAAGTTAAAACAAAAATGTACAGTACAAGCCAGTTTAGTGGTCACACTCTTGTTTGTCTTTGAGCCATTTTTTCAATCTTGTGGAGAAAAGTCGAATATCAGTCTGTGACTTGAGCTCCAGAGGCAAAGAGTTCCAGAGATGTGATGCTTTCACTGAGAAGGCAGACTGACCCATAGACGTCCGACATCTTTTAATCCTGCAGTTCCCCATAGCTCCAGCTCTTGTCCTGATTCCTTCATTTGCATACTTTAAAACAAATTTACAGATTACCTCAGGGGCAAGACCATTAAGGCATTTAAAAATAGCTTTTAAAAATGAGAAATTTATAAAATTTTCAAACGTCATCATATTGTGTTTTTTTTTTTTTATATCAGACCGATTCTGTCACAGCATAAAGTAGTTTCTAAAGAGATCAAATCCAAAGAGCAGATTAAACAATAGAACATTTTCCTGGTGTAGTTGGAGCTTTAAGTGTTACACACGTTACAAGAATGAGCATCAAATTTAGTGAAATTAGATTGATTAGAGTTTCATAAAGAAATGTTCAGATACGAACTGATAGCTGCACAAAGTGCAGAAAAAAAGCTGAAGTGAAAAGAAGAAGCTGGGTTATTTCTACAGTAAAAAACAGCGCTGAGTTTTATGCGAAAAATGGCAGCTGGCTGTATTTTCTATGTATTGCTAGTTTTTTACTGTTTTTTGTGATCAAACTCATTGATTCTTATAACTAAATGTAAATAAGAAACTATCACATAGATAACTTTTTGTTTGAGCACTCTATTAGATGACTTCATTTGTCAAATCAGTTTGATAGAGCTAACTTCCTCTTTCACAGAAGAAGAGGATGGAGACTCCTTTAAGTAACACATCTGGTCATAAAGAAGGTGGCTGTTTAATCTGCTGCTGATCGGCTGATCTAAATAGGTCAACTGGTTCTAAACCTAAACTGTTTTTGACTTAACTGCAGATATTTTTGGTAAGTTTACATTTCTAACTAATCATTTAACCAAGTATTTCCGTATTCTCTTTAGTAAATACGTTAAAATGTCTACAGTACCTTCAAAGCTACTTTTGCTATAAGATGAACCTCTATATTCAGACGTAGCATTTAAAGTCAGCAAATATTTTTTTTTTCTTGTTTGACTAATGAAGAAGAATCATCTGAATCTGATGGCAGCTCTTTCTGAGAACCTGCTGACAGTCAACATGTTACTGATTGTCTTCTTTCCAGGTGAGCTGTTTGTTCACTTCATTTCATTAGAGACCTCAAGTGAATCATTTCTAGTCTGAAATGTTAGATCCTGATGTTATTTAAAGGATCCACAATAAGCTGCAGCTGAACTGGAGTTTGTGGACCATGAAGATTCTCTGCAGGCAGATTTTGCTCCACATCATGTTCATCATTTGTCTGTTTTTACAGCTACTTTTGCTGATTGTGGTGATAAAAACCCAAACCTCAGAATCACTACACCAAAGAAGATTGAAGCTCTGAATGGATCTTATTTGGAAATCCCATGTATCTATAATACAGAGAATACCAGCTATAACAGCAGCAGAACTATCTATGGAGTTTGGATGAAAGGTGGTACCAATTTTGTCTCTGATCCAAAGATAGTTATTTTCAACAGCAGTGGGTCAGTTAACACCTATTCACTGAATATTACTGGAAACCTGAGAGAGAAAAACTGCACCACTCTGTTTCCTGATGTAAAGACCAGTTATGCAGACAGATACTTCTTCAGGATTGAGAACGAGCCGTTTAAAGCAACAGCTTGTGGTGATCCTCTCAGTATAACAGTTAAAGGTAATAGAGCTTCAATATTTAAGTATGATGTTAATGTTTAGTAAAATTGAGTAATTTACTGTTTTTGTTTTAAATTTATTTATGTATTTCTGTTTGGAACAATGTTTATTTCTTGGCTTCTGCTGTATATCTTATGGTAGCTGTAATATTAGAAACATTAGCTGGTTTCCTGTTTTAAAAATTAAAACTTTATCTATCAATGATCACATCATACACAGTCAATTTGGAATTTAATTATGTTAATGCTGTTTAATTATTGATAGAATGGAATTATGGTTTTGGCTTTTTGCGTCACAGCATTTTGTGATGAAGGTATGGAAAAGTGCTAAATAACTAGTTTTGCGTAGTTTAAGTCAACATTAAAGAAATTGGATAAAACAACTATTTTCTTTCCTAATCTTCTGCTTTCTGTACTACACTAAGCATTATTCCATGAGAATGACGGACTTTACAAATTAAGATAATTCATTAAATATTTGAAAGTCATTTATAGAATTTTTTTTCTCCAATTAATGCTTTATACATGATAAATTATTCTATTAGAAGAATTCATATATTCATATAATTTTTTTGTGTGAAATGTGTGTCTGATCTAAACTTCCAGATTCTCCTTGGAGTCCCAGCATTAATATCCCTGTTGGTGATCTGAAGGAGCATCAGTCTGTCACTATAAGCTGCTCAGCTGTGACTCCCTGTCCACACTCACCTCCTGAACTCACCTGGAATCTCCAACAAGACTCTGAGAGACAAACAGAGAAAAACGCAGATGGAACCTTTACAACTAAAATCCAGGAGACCATCACTCTGTCAGACACACATGATGGATACAACATCAGCTGTTCTGCCAGATATCCTGTGAATGGAGGAAGCAAGACAGCAGAGACAGAAGTGACTCTCAGTGTTTCATGTTAGTGATCCTGTCAGCACGTCATGGTTCAGCTGTTTCTGATCAATAAAGTTAATGTGTGTCCCATTTTCCTCAGATGCTCCTAAAGACACCTCAGCATCCATCAGTCCATCAGGTTTGGTGTCAGCAGGTAGCTGGGTGGAGCTGAGCTGCTCCAGCAGAGCCAAGCCTCCTGCCAGCTTCACCTGGTTCAGGAACAGCAAACATGGAGCCATTAATGTATCTGTGGGGCAGGTTTACAGCTTCAATGTTACTGAGGGAGGAGAGTATTACTGTGAGGCTACAAATGATCTGGGGAATCAGAGATCAGCAGTGATTCTACTTAATACTGAAGGTGGCAAAAATCCACTTATTAATTTTTTTCAAATTTAAATATAGTCTTAAGTTGTTGTTATTTTGTCACTGTTTAACTTTTCTTTTCTCTGCTTTAGCAAAAGGTTATCTTTTCTTGGTCACAGTTGCAATTGGAGACTTTTTGTTCGTCTGTCTGGTTCTTTCTGTCTGGTAAGTGTCAGACATTAACATACTGAACTAAATTCAGTCAATGATTTTGAGGTTTTTATTAACCCTCCAGATAAACATCTGAACCAGCTCCTTATTAAGGTTGTGTTCAGCTGATTCTTGTTCTGGTTGTTTTGATGTTAATCCTCTCATGTCTGTTTCGGCTCATTCTTGACTCTCTCAGTCTGGATCTTTCTGTTTTTTTCTGAATCAAAGCAGATTTATTCTGACAGATCTCAAATGTCTTCCAGGTGCCTTAAGACCAAATGTCCAACTCCAGATCAGACCCAGGTGAGGAAATGTTCTGTGAGCGTCACTGAAATAAGTTTTCCTCTGCAAGCTGAGACAGTATTTTGCTGAACAAGAACATTTTTATTTTCCCACAGAGTCAAACATGTCAGGAGGTTTCTGATCAAATTGCAGCCAATGAAACAGAGGAAGAACTTCATTATGGAGACATTACTGTCCTCCAGAGGCGGCCTGAAGCTTCCTCTGTCTCAGTGCAGGACGATGGACAGCAGGAGACAGAGTACGCTCAGGTTCAAGTGTCTACTGACCATCCAGAGGATCTCTATGCACAAGTGAAGAAGAAATAACTTCTGACACTGATCTGGAATTAAATAAGGGATTTTAACTATGGAAATGTTATGAATATATGTTAAGTTTCTTGTCACACTTTATTGACAGGAAAATCTCAATCCTCTTAGATATTCATCCCTTATGATTTACAGTTTATCCACAACTTAGAATAGCTTGATGGATAATAAAAAATTATGCATGATCATGTTATTTTATTTCAGCTCTTGATGCTTTGTAAAGTTAAACCAATCTTAACTTAGCATGTTTCATATGAAGATGAAGTTGTACCTTATTGTGGTTGGTGGTAGAGATTCACTGACCAGGACTGTGTTTTAGATTTCTTTGCATTTGTAAAGCTTTGAGGTTACTGCAGCAATTTTAGTTCAGTATGATTTCTCTTCAATACTTTCTTTTTATATTATTTCAACTCGGAGTAAATTTTATTTCAACATTTTCTCTAATCCTTTGACAATTAGATTTATTTTCTTAATATATAAGAATTTCATATATAATAGAAATGCTGAAATATAATACATTTATTTGACTTTTTTTGATTATCTTGTAATTTTACGACTTTTTTTCTCTACTTATGGGTCTGTTCTCTGTTTGCTCATAAGACTTCCTATTTTGAATAAAAGAGCTCGAAATAATGTCCTGCTGGTAGTTTTAATTTTTTTTAACATGACTTCCACAAAGAAGACAGAAAATGATGAAACTGTTTCTAAAATGTGTAAAAAAAAAACTTTAGACAGTAATGTTAGTTAGTAACTTAGTTGATCAAAGAGGAGCAGCAGAAGAATTCTTGTCAGACCCATTAACACAGGGCATAAAAGAAGAGATACAAAGCTATTAAAAGAGAAATATATGAATGATCACCTACCATGAGCATTCATTTATTAATTATGTAAGGAGCAGAGATGGTGTGTGTGGGATAGCAGTTGCTGATCAATCATTCAAATAAATAAAATCACTGATTTTACACAATCTAATCATAATTAACAGCATTAGCATTTTTACATAAAATAAAATGGCAAAGCCAGTCTCTGTGAAAAAGCTTTGATCCTTTTCTCTGAAATGAAAAATATACTGTCAACCTTTTTAATTTCAATGGCAGGCAGGTAAAGCTGAAGGGGATAGAACTGAGCAGCTTGTTGTCTCTTTTGCATTAATATTTATCTCTGTATCTGGTGTCCTGAATGAACAGCTGATATAGCACAAGTATTTGGCCTAATCTTTTCAACCATTTGCCACATTTCAGACCTCAAACATTGTAAAAATTGTAATTCTTTGTGAGGAATGAACCACTAGTGGGACACTTCAATCTGAAAACTCATCTAAAGAAAAAAGACAATTGCCAAATTTATTGATACAATTCATTTGTCTTTGGCGCTCAGACGTCGGAAGGAAACATTAGTGCTAAATTTTGATAGATATGCATGAGCAGGTGCAAAGAATAGGGCTGTTTCCCCCCAGGCCTGAAACTGGTGGTGGAGTGAAAACAGATGAAGTTGGTTAGTCTGTAAACTGCTGGTTAGCGAGACGGTATGCTGATCTTTATGGGTCGATCCAGTGCCATGAGCTGATACTAGAGCTTCACTCAGGAAGATGGATGTCCAGTTGGATAACACAGGTTGAGAGAACCTGTGCATGATGAGCAAACATGAAGTGACAGTGGAGAGGAAAAACTCCACATTGGGAAGAAACCTCTGGCAGAGCCAGGCTCAACATGGTGGTCTTCTGCCGGACCGGGTAAGATGAGACAGGGAAGGCAGTAGGAGTCCGGGGGGAATGGCACTCTGATGAAGCTTTAGCTATGATGGTGGAGGAGGGGCTGGAGGTGGGTTGAAACGGTGTCATCTGAATGAAGTCACAGCACATCGCCGCCTGCACACAGGAACGGACAGGTGCGTATCTGAGGCCTTTTAAGATGATTTTTTTTATGCTCAATGGCTTTCGTTGAGGTGTGGTTCAAAGCTGATTGGCTGTGTTGCAGGTGAATGTATGAAAAGCCATGAGTTTCTTCAGTTTAAATCTGCCTAGGCTCCATAATCATGAAGTGGAACGAAATTAATTGGATATTTAAAAATGTTTTAACAAATAAAAAACCTGAAGAGTGGGGTGTGCAAACTTAATTGTCCCCTTTCTTTTCAGTGCAGCAAACACTCTCCAGGAGTTCAGTGAGGATCTCAACTCCTGGAATTCAGAAAAAGTTAATTATATTTTTTATTATAATGAAAAAGTTCATTATATTTTTCATTCATGTACACTCAGCACCCCATCTTGACAGAAATCAACAAAAATGTAGAATCTTTCAATTGAAAAAATAAATTGAAATATCACATTGTCATAAATATTCAGACCCTTTGCTAAGTATTCAGTAAAAGCACTCTTAGGTCTAGTACAGCCATAAGTCTTTATGGGAATGAAACAGTAGATTTTTCACAACTGGATTTGGGGATCGTCTGCCATTCATCCTTGTAGATCCTCTCTAGGTATTTCAGGTTGGATGGTGAGCATTGGTGGACAGCAAGGGTGTAACTTTGTGTTGACAGTTGGTGGGGACGGCTCATAAGGAAAGGGAGCTACCTGCGCGACGCCTTTTTTTTTTTTGTTGGAAAGGATAAAGCCAAAAAAATGCGAATAACATTTATCAATTTAATGCTTACAGTTGAAAACATACCTGTTACAATATTCACTTATATATTTTGTGCAAAAAATATCACATAAATCTAAACAGACAGTACAAATCAAAGAATTCAAATAAATATATCAATTTTGTAGAACATTTATTGACAGTCAATTTTGGGTCACTTTTTAAAATTAATTTACTTTCTCCGTCTTTCTGTCAAGAACATCCACCAGCAGGGTATCCAGTGGAGGATTTACCATTAGGCAATACTAGGAAGTTGCCTAGGGCCCCAAGTTCCTGGGGGCCCCATAAAACTCTGTTTCCATGTATGGTTAATACAACTAATCCTTATTTGTGCTCATTAATTATGTTTTTGATAAAAATCCTTTGGCTAAAATGCCATCAGAACGCTGATAAATAGAGAGGAAAAAGGGACACGAAGAGAGGGACAAAACCTAGAACAAATAATGGATGTCTATTCTATTAACATTTCTCTATCTGTAGAATGGGTCTGTTTTATGGGTTTACTTCTCAGGGGGCCCCCTGCCTGTCTTTGCCTAGGGCCCCAAATTTCCTAAATCCGCCCCTGAGGATATCAATACTGATTTGATAGAATCTGGGAGAGCGGACTATGTTCAACCATCCATTTTCTTTAACCTTATCCCTCAGTGAGATCAGGAGGTGCTGATATCTCTAGCCACGTTCTGGGTGAGAGGTGGGATCACCCTGGACAGGTCACCAGTCTGTCGCAGTATGTTCAACCAGCTTAAAAGTAATCTGTAATCAGATTTATTATTTGCACTTTTACTAAGTGAACTTTCTAACTCCCTTAAATCTGAAATTCCAATGCCAAAATTGTTTAAATCTTTTATCTTTGGACCCCCTGCAGATTGACGTCACACCTGCAAGATCCTATCCTTACCTTCCTGCTAGATTGCAAAAAGCAGCTTGCTCACGGGTTGTCAACTTAACACGCTAAATCTTAAATGTACGTGGACATATAAAAGAAAAAGGGGCGCAGTGCTTGCTACTGAATGGCAACACTAACAAAGTCAGAAAAAAGTTTTAAGTGAAGCCGGGATTAAAACAGTAGCTACAAGAAGCTTCAAATAAAAGGTGTTCTTTATGTTCAACCTAAACACCAACTCCGATAGACCATCAGTAGAGCAGGTGTTTAAATTAATCAATCACTGCTGTGAAAGCTTATAGCAGTGAAAGCTAATATACCACAGCCATCACTTAATAAACGCAAAACAAACCTCTAAAAACGGAAAACTGTAATGGACTGAAAGTCCTGTTTTTTATGTGGGAAATTATTTGCGTGTGTTTTAGAATAATTCTGATATATTGGTGCTGTTGTCTGTTTCTATGGCAACGATACTGAATGTAGTGTAGCTTAGAGACCTGCATGGGTCGAGTTTTACCAACCCACACCCGCCCGAACCCGTTAGGATGACTACCGAACCCGACCCGTCACCCGCGGATATCTTCAATACAAATCCGAACCCGACCCGACCCGTTGATATTTAACCCGCAACCCGACCCGTTAACCCATCATAGGCTATTGTACGCTGCGCTGCACCCAGTGCCTGATTAATACAACATTTCTGATGTCCATAACAACACACACGCATAAAAAAAAAAATCACCACCTACTCACCCGCACTAAAAAAATATCCGCCCGACCCGTTTATTTTTTTTTTTAGGTATTTTTCGCGGGTACCCGACCCGTTGCAGGACTCTAGTGTAGCTGACATAACAGGGCCGGAAAAGAGTGGTTTGCGTTTTTTTTTCCAACGGTTCAGTTATATTTTAAATACGGTATTAACTTATTTTTACACTATTCTCTATTCTTTTACTACTTTAAGTCTCTCCTGACTAAAATTAGGTCTTAATATTTCCACAAGTCCCTCTCACCTGCAAGTCTGAGTCCACTTCTGTCCCTGAATGGGTTAGCATTTTTGGAGGGAAGCGACAGGTGTTATGGGGAGAGGGCGGAGGGGGGTGATGGGGAGAAAGCGAGAGGCAACAGATTCTTTTTTCTGAGTTTTTTGTCGGGGTTTGTGGACGGTGAGCAGCGGGGAGAACTTTTTTTATTTTCTTTCTGAGGAGCGGCATGAATGGGGTTTTAATCAGATATACACAGCACCGAAAGTAAAATACGTGTACAAAATATTGGTGGGGACATGTCCACACCAGTCCTTAAGGAAGTTACGCCTATGCTGGACAGCCATTTTCAGCTCTCTCCAGAGATGCTCAGTTGGGTTTAGGTCAGGGTTCTGCCTGTGCCAGTCAAGAATGGTCACAGAGTTGTTCCAAAGCCACCCTTTTTTATTTTAGCTGTATGCTTAGGACCATTGTCTGGTTGGAAGGTGAACCTTCAGTCCAGTCTTAAGTCCTGAGCACTCTGGAAGATGCTTTATTTCAGGATATCTCTGTACTTGGTGTTAGGGTTCCAGTTTGTGGGGGTTGTTTTGTTCTCTTGCAGTTCCACCGTGCACCCACCAGATGGTCCCTTTGTCCTCTGCTGGTCTGGAGGGCTTCCTGTTCTTCTCTCCTCACACCTGCAGCCTCTTGGGTCATCACTTCCTGAGGAGTATTTAAGGAGCGGACTTTCTTCACTTCCTCGCCAGAGTGTTTGCCAGTATTGGGTACCCTTGTCCCTCAGAGTTTGCAGAGTCTACTTTGAGTCCCAGTTTCTTCTGAGCTCTCAGCGCTAACCAAGTTTTTGTCTTTTTGATTCTCTGGCAAGATATCACTGATCCACTGGATAAGCTAGGCCCTTCAAGTCTTGGAAGGGACTCTCTCGTCACACTGAGAAAAGGAGACAGATCTCCTCATCTGAACGCCGTCCACTTCTGGAACTTTGTGTCTGTCTGCTCAGCTGCTCCCCAGGACTGCCTGGGCAGCTGTCTGCCTGTTCCGTCCTCCAATGAACAACACCATCTACAGATCAAGCCTCCACAGACAGGAACTCTGGAAACCTCCCAAACAACCACAGTGAGTCCAAGTCAAACCTTGTATACAGAAAATCAGCCAGATTTCCCCCCATCCATGAACTCACCACTCTGATGTCCTCCTAGAGCTTCCACTTCTGGTTCACCTGACCACTGAAACCTCCCCAAGCTGAACAACAGTTTTTTTTTCTAGTCTCTGTACAGTTTCCCTTCAATTAAATGTTTAACTTTTTCCTGTCTCTGAGAGTGCTTCTGCATGTGGGTCAAACACATTAGACCCATCATGACACTTGGCCGCATTCATTTTTCCTTCAATTGCAACCAGAGTTCCTGTCCCTGCAGCTGAAAAAAACTATAGCATGATGCTGCCACCACCATGTTTCACTGTGAGGATTGTATTGGGCAGATAATGACCTGTGTCTGGTTTTCTCCACACATTACCACTTAGAATTAAAACCAAAAAGTTAATTCTTGGTCTGATCAGAACAGAAAATCTTTCTCATAGTCTTAGACTTAGACAACTTTAATTTTCATTTTGTATACACGGAGTGTATACAAAATTAAATGTTGTTTTGTACAGCTTTAATAACATTTCCATTCTTTAAAGTACAGCTGTAATAACATTTTAACAATGTGGGAGAAAAAAAAAACATGGGGCAAAAAAACACATTGATATGAAAGTTCAGAGCATTATGGTGCAAATATGCAGTGGTGGTGTTAGTGTGATGCAGAGTCTGTCACAAATCTAGCCTTTATGGAAGAAAGCAATTTCTTAAAGATATCCATATTTTTTATTTTTTTTATTTTCCACAAGCCACTTGGGAGACACAGCAAACGTGGGAGAAGGTGCTCTGTTCAGATGAAACCAAAATCTAACTTTTTTGCAACAACACAAAATGTTCGGTTTGCTCTAAAAGCAATGCTGCTAATAACTCTCAACACACCATCCCCACTGTTAAACATGGTGGTGGCAGCATCATGGTTTCAACCTGCTTTTCTTACTTTCACAAGGCACTGCATTCCTCATTACAGAAGTATTTCAGTCATGTTTTTCTTTTATTTATTTATTTTTTCTCTGTTCTTTGTGTTTTAGTTTTATTAGCATGTTATTGGCCACCTAATTACTGCACAGGAGATTTGAATATCTGTTCCAGCTTTTTTCCCAAAAAATTTTGGATAGCTTCCTGTTTTGATCTTTAATTTTATATTTTTTTCTACATTCATACTGTATTAATGCTCAGTGTGTCTCTTACTGTTTTTAAATGTTTTTTTGTATCTGGTTCCTTGGCGCATTTATCTTTTAAGCTTTATTAATTTGACTTTATTGATCTCACAGTGGAGAAATTTACTCTACTAAGCTACTTAAGTGAGTTCCCCCATTAACAATGCAATTTCATTAAAAGCACTTACTGGTAAGTAAAGAAAAAAAATAACATTCCTTTATTGTCTAATGTACACAAGATACAGAAGAATTAGATGATCTCAACAAAGTAACACAGGATCAGGCATAATGGACCTTAAGGAGACAAGGAGGGCACCTAACCATAATCAAAGGATCTATTTTTTCTGTCTGTCAATCAAATAAAGGTTCAGGGTCACAGCAGGAACTGTTTCTTTCTGCAGCCATCAAAAGGCCAGAAGAGGAGGCCAACCTAAACAGGTCACCACTTCATCAGAGGATCAACCATATGTCTATACTTTTATTATTATCTGAACATCTCTTTGGTAAATATGCCACAGGAGGAAGGTCACACTCTTGCATGTTCAGAGCTAAAATCTTCATCAAGTAAACATGATTTCCTGAATCACAGTTTGAATGACATTAAAACAATGCTTTGAGAGAGTTCCTTTCCCTGTTGATAAGTTTTAGCCTAATTTAAAACGTTTACTTGTTGTTTACTGATATGTTTCATCCTTTTACAAACTAAGCTCAATTGGCAGCATCTATACTTTAGAGGTTATGTCATGTTTCCTTAAACATCAGTTTTAAAATAATAAAAAGAAGTTTGTTTGTTGTGTTCTGACTTCTCTTAGAGATGGTAACAAACCACTAGAGCTGTTTCTTATTCAGACTAGAAGCATGTTTACCATCTTTGTATGTGAATATCTGTTTTATATAAAAAAAAAACCTATATTTGTTTAAAAGGGATTTAAAAAACAGAAATTATAAATCAGGTGCAAAATATGATTTTCTTCTGTGTTTCAAATAATATCTGTCAAACAATTATGTTGTAGTTGTTAAAATTGTTTCTATCTTTGGAGCCATAATATTTTATGTGTCTCTCTTTCACAGTGCAAAATCTGGACATTTAATGGTTTTTATTTTGATTGAACAATTATTTTCTTTTTTGCAAGGTATTTGTTTTGTGGAACCCAAACACCGAACCCCGAACACAGATCAGGACGATATATGCCAGTGTGTATGAGTAATGTTCTGCATTAATGTTCTGCTCTGTGTTTAGTGTGACTCAGCCCGAGATGCATTCACACCTCACTAGAGATGAGGTCATGATGAGCATTTTTGGTATTTGGAACAGAAATGTGGAAGGACAGATGATGGTAGATTTTGCAAAGAGGATGTGAATACATCTAGTGAATACTTCTCTTCAGTAGAAGTAGGACCAGAATGAGTTACAAGAGCTGATATAGAAGCACGTTGATGGATTACATCTTATGTATATGATATAAAATAATGCTCTGAACTTCCGTATCAATGTGCTTTTTTGCACAATGTTTTTTCTTTTTATTCTCCCACACTATTTACATTCTATCACTGCTGCACTTTATGGAATGGAAATGTTCATTTCACTGATAAGCTGCTTCTCATTTACTGTCTGAAAAATGTACAAAACAAAATTGTATTTTGTATACACTGTATACAAAATGGATCAATATTGGGGATGGATCAATCTTTAATGAGCATTTGATGGAACAAAGCTTTGTCTGTGTTGTGCTTCTGCACGCAACATCACTACCTTACCCAGTCATTGACCATCTAACACAGTAGGTATTGACAGAAAGTTCATATTTTTAAATGTGAACATAAGAATAGAGCAGAATAGAGCAAAGAGCAAACTTCCTCTTTGCTCTATCGGCATGTGTACTTGGCTTATTGCTGTTTCACTTCACTCTATTTGCCTGATTTGTGCCATTAGCATCATTGACCATCAATTCACTCCTGAATGTAACTTTACTTTGGAAAGAAAATATAAATCATTTTAATCGCTGTGGTTAGTGTGTACTCACCTTAATCAAGAAAGCATTTCTGAGAGGGCATACAGTGAATTTGAATATGTCAGCTGAGTCTGAACTGAATTTTCCACCAGGCTGGGTTTGATTTATATCAGACCGATTCTGTCACAGCATAAAGTAGTTTCTAAAGAGATCAAATCCAAAGAGCAGATTAAACAATAGAACATTTTCCTGGTGTAGTTGGAGCTTTCAGTGTTACACACGTTACAAGAATGAGCATCAAATTTAGTCAAATTAGATTGATTAGATTCAATACATGTTTGAGTTGATAAAACACAAAATCTTATTTTAAATAAACTCTAAAACAAAGTATTAACTCTTCATGATTTGCCATCTATGTACCAGAGTTTCATGAAGAAATGTTCAGATACGAACTGATAGCTGCACAAAGTGCAGAAAAAAAGCTGAAGTGAAAAGAAGAAGCTGGGTTATTTCTACAGTAAAAAAACAGCGCTGAGTTTTAAGCGAAAAATGGCAGCTGGGTGTATTTTCGATGTATTGCTAGTTTTTTACTGTTTTTTGTGATCAAACTCATTGATTCTTATAACTAAATGTAAATAAGAAACTATTACTTAGATAACTTTTTGTTTGAGCACTCTATTAGATGACTTCATTTGTCAAATCAGTTTGATAGAGCTAACTTCCTCTTTCACAGAAGAAGAGGATGGAGACTCCTTTAAGTAACACATCTGGTCATAAAGAAGGTGGCTGTTTAATCTGCTGCTGATCTAAATAGATCAACTGGTTCTAAACCTAAACTGTTTTTGACTAAACTGCAGATATTTTTGGTAAGTTTACATTTCTAACTAATCATTTAACCAAGTATTCTCTTTAGTAAATACGTTTTAATGTCTACAGTACCTTCAAAGCTGCTTTGCTATAAGATGAACCTCTATATTCAGACGTAGCATTTAAAGTCAGCAATTATTTTTTTTTTCTTGTTTGACTAATGAAGAAGAATCATCTGAATCTGATGGCAGCTCTTTCTGAGAACCTGCTGACAGTCAACATGTTACTGAGTGTCTTCTTTCCAGGTGAGCTGTTTGTTCACTTCATTTCATTAGAGACCTCAAGTGAATCATTTCTAGTCTGAAATATTAGATCCTGATGTTATTTAAAGGATCCACAATAAGCTGCAGCTGAACTGGAGTTTGTGGACCATGAAGATTCTCTGCAGGCAGATTTTGCTCCACATCATGTTCATCATTTGTCTGTTTTTACAGCTACTTTGGCTGATTGTGGTGGTATAAAACCAGCCCTCAGAATCACTACACCAAAGAAGATTGAAGCTCTGAGTGGATCTTGTTTGGAAATCCCATGTATCTATGATACAGAGGATACCAGCTATAACAGCAGCAGAACTATCTATGGAGTTTGGATGAAAGGTGGTACCAAATTTGTCTCTGATCCAAAGATAGTTATTTTCAACAGCAGTGGGTCAGTTAACACCTATTCACTGAATATTACTGGAAACCTGAGAGAGAAAAACTGCACCACTCTGTTTCCTGATGTAAAGACCAGTTATGCAGACAGATACTTCTTCAGGATTGAGAACGAGCCGTTCAAATCATCAGCTTGTGATGATCCTCTCAGTATAACAGTTAAAGGTAATAGAGCTTCAATATTTAAGTATGATGTTAATGTTTAGTAAAATTAAGTAATTTACTGTTGTTGTTCTAAATTTATTTATGTATTTCTGTTTGGAATAATATTTTTTCTTTGCTTGTGCTGTGTATCTTACAGTAGCTGTAATAGTAGAAACATTAGCTGGTTTCCATGTTTTAAAACTTAAAACTTTATCTATTAATGATCACATCATACACAGTCAATTTGGAATTTAATTATGTTAATGCTGTTTAATAATTGATAGAATGGAATTATGGTTTTGGCTTTTTGCGTCACAGCATTTTGTGATGAAGGTATGGAAAATTGCTAAATAACTAGTTTTGCGTAGTTTAAGTCAAAATTAAAGAAATTGGATAAAACAACTATTTTATTTCCCAATCTTCTGCTTTCTGTACTACACTAAGCATTATTCCATGAGAATGACAGACTTTACAAATTAAGATAATGAATTGAATATTTGAAAGTCATTTATAGAAAAGTTTTTTTTATTAATGCTTCATAAATGATAAATGATTCTAAATAATTCATATGTTCTTAATATTTATTTTTGTGAAATGTGTGTCTGATTTAAACCTCCAAAACCATGGAGCACTGCATCCAGAATCTGCTTCATTAAAGATCCTTGCATAGATCTGCTGACTACGGTGGCTGAGAAGTGCAAAACACATTTACAATTCAAAAACATATTAACAAATAAAAAACAAAATAACATTTGAAGAAACAAAATTATATTTTATGAAACAAATGTATTTTTGAAAAAAAAGTTTACATTTTTAAAAACACATTAAAATTTTAGCAAACAAATTTACATTAACAAATTAACAAAATAACATTTGAAAAAACAAAATTATATTTTATGAAACAAATGTATTTTTGAAAAAAAAAGTTTAAATTTTTAAAAACAAATTTACATTTTAGCAAACAAATTTACATTTTAGGAAACAAATTCACATTTTAAATAAGTTAGATTTTAGGTGAGAGAAAGTTTCATTTTAGAGAAAAAAAAAATACATTATACTGTGTTCATGCAGTATTTTGGTTTGGTGTTATCAGTGTAATGCAGAGTCTGTGACATGATTTTAGAGTTTTTTCCAACAGTTCAGCTGTCTGATGGAGGTGGGGAAGAAGCTTGTTGCAGAATCTACTGGACCTGCATCTAATGCTGCGAAGCCTCTTCCCAGAGGGCAGCAGGGAGAACAGTCCATAGTGGGGGTGTGAGGGGTCATTGATGATATTACGGGCTCAGGACATGCAGTGCTGGGTCCTGACCAAAAGTAAGCTTATATGTGCAACTGTATGGGTGTATAGGGGACAGGTAGGAGATTAATTTCTACAAATATTGTCTTTTTAATACAAGCAAACATGGTGGGCCAAACATTTAGTTTCCCACAACTCATAATTATTTTCATCTTCATCAAGGCATAAACAATTAAATTAGCTTCCAAACTCCTTTCTGGGCCACTAACCTGTTGGAGATGCCATCTTTAAATGGCTACAAACACCAGTAACAAACAGATGAAAAAATATGCATCCTTTTAATTACATTTAACCTGGGTGCAATGCTCCCTAGAGTAGCCTGTGGCCTTTTATTGACATTTGTTTCTATCTGTATAGATCTACACCCACAGTAGGAAGTCAACAAGAGAATCATCAATAATACTCAACATGCCTGTGTGACATACTGTTACGACCCGGCTTGACTGATGGCAACAAACAATGGGGGGACACGGAAACAGGCAGTATTTTAAGCCTGTAAAAGGCATTTATTTAGCAGAATCAAAAGAATGAACTAAATGCCAGCATCAGATGGCAGCTCGGATGGGGCGTTCACGCCTGGTCCCTCCACACCAGGAAGTCGGGTCCCCAACCTGGTCCGGACTGGACTGGATGGCTGTCTGCGGCGTGCTTGCTTCAACCAGGAGACGCGCCTCTCAAGCAGGGAACACCAACGCTCCTTAAATATCAACCAGGTGGCCGCATAATGGAAGCGCCTCCCACCTAGAGGACCTTAATTGATAGTGTTAATTTAGGCAGTTAACACATATGCTCACCCGACAGCACAGCAGGGCTGTCACACCTCCGCCCATAAAAAAGCAGGTTCTATATGGAACCCTGCTCCAAATCACCAACCGTGTAGTAAACCCGGCCACCCACAATGTATTCGGATTCGTTTAATGTACAGATTTCTTCCTCTGCTCGCTCTCTAGGCCAGCAACTAGTGCACTCAGAAGCTTCTTTAAGGCACATAGAAAAGAAACAGGGACAAAACAAGCACAAGAAAAACACCACATGCTACAAAAGTGGAGCGCGAGATTACGCATTAGCTATGACGTTGTCTTTTCCTTTAATGTAATGAATATCCAGATTGTAGGACTGCAGGAACAATGACCAGCGGATCAAACGCTGATTTGGACATTTCAGGGAAGACAGGAACGTCAGCGGATTATGATCTGTAAACACCACGATGTTAGCGCCACCATTTACATAAACATCAAAATGTTTTAGGGCTCGGCCTGCCAATACCCAGATCATCGGTCTGTGTAAGGACAGCTCCAGCACCCACGTGACTAGCATCCACGTAAAGTTGGAAAGGATGTTTAAGACGTGGTGCAGCCAATACAGGATCAGCACAGAGGAGCCTTTTCACCTGCTCAAAAGCCTGTTGACAAAGGGTAGACCACTCAAACTTTACATCTTTGCGCAGCAAATTTGTCAGAGGCACCACCACAGATGAGAAGTTTCGACAAAAACACCTGTAATATCCCACTAGCCCAAGAAAACGCATTAGCTCCTTCTTTGTAATGGGAACAGGAAATTGCTCTACCGCCTGAACCTTTGCTGCAACAGGGCAAACCTCACCTTGGCCAACCACCCATCCTAAACAGGTAACGGTTGCCCTTCCAAACTCACATTTGGCCAGGTTGACCGTTAACCTCGCCCCAGCCAAACGAGTGAAAAGCTCCCCTTTACGCTCCACGTGCTCCTCCCACGTGTCAGAATACACCACCACGTCATCCAAGTAAACTGCACAACCAGTCATGTCACCAACCACTCTGTTCATTAGTCTTTGAAACGTTGCCGGCGCATTTCTCAGACCGAACGGCATTACAGTGTAGGAATACAAGCCTGTAGGTGTAACAAACGCCGACACCTCACGTGCGCGCTTTGTCAATGGCACCTGCCATTAACCCTTTAAAAGGTCAAATTTACTAACAAAGTTAGCAGAACCCACCTGGTCGACGCAATCATCCATTCTTGGCAACGGGAAACAATCTGGTTTTGTAACAGCGTTAAGTTTGCGAAAATCTGAGCAGAAACGTAGAGTGTTATCAGACTTAGGAACTAAAATATATGGCGATGCCCAACTGGACATACTTGGTTCAGCAATCCCATTCTGAAGCATGTAATCCACTTCTGCATCCAAGTGCTTGCGCTTCTCCAGATTCACCCTATAAAACCGCTGCTTTATTGCTTTAGCGTCACCCACATCCACATCGTGTTCGACCAAATGTGTGCGACCAGGTGTGTCCGAAAACAGACATGGAAAATCCCCTATCAACTCAGCCAACTGTTTAGCACGACCTGCAGGTAAGTGAACCAACAACGTATTCAACTTTCCCAAAGTTTCAGAGTTCTTAAGACGCCCATGAATCAGAGAACTATCCAACCCATCCACATCACCGTCATCCCCACACAGGTGACACAGTGCGCTGTCCGTGGTGCTGAAAGTCTCGCTCCTCCCAGCAAGGTCGTTTACTGCACATGCAGGCGTGGCAACATTACACTGTGACGGAAATAAATCATCACAAGCATAATATGATTTTAATGTGTTGACATCACACAACTGGGTTTTCTTTCTCCGCTCGGCATAGATATTAAATAATTCTGATCGGAAACCCGTTTTAGAACTGTAAATGGACCAGTGAATTTCGCCTGAAAAGGAGAAGTCATAATTGGACACAAAGCCAACACTTGATCACCCGGCAGAAATGTGCAAACCTCTGCACCCCGATCAAACAGGCTTATCATTTTTTTCTGCGCCACAGTCAACTTCTCTTTAACAAGATCCTGTGCCCAATACAAACGTCTTCTAAAACCATTAACATAATCCACCAAGTTTTTGGGTGGAACAGGCTCTTTCAGCCCGTCCGACACCACAGCCAACGGACCCTTAACGGTGTGTGCAAAAACCAGTTCATTTGGACTAAACCCGGTGCTTTCCTGGGTTACCTCCCTGGCGGCGAACATCAGCCAAGGCAATCCGTCCTCCCAGTCACCTGCCAGTTCTGTACAGTAAGCGCGCAGGAGAGACTTCAGAGTCTGGTGGAAACGCTCTAACGCCCCCTGACTCTCTGGATGATATGCTGTTGCTTTATTGTGTCGCACCCCAGTGGCGGCCGGCACATAGGGGGCGCTGGGGCACCGCCCTCCCTGATAAGAAGAGAGAAACGTAAAATATATTTTTAGAATTAACTCATAAATGTCAGTTTTACTCTCTAGAGTGTGTACCTATAAGCAAAACAAATTATATAAACTACATTTCCCTATCTACTGTCATGCATTTGTGGATTTCCACAGACAGACTCCCAGTCTCTGTCTTGAGGCTGTGATCAGACAGCCCCACATTTGCAGAGAATCTGTCAATCATGTACTATTGCTAGGTGAATTTAATGGCCAATCAGCGTCTCAGAACTTTATGGTCTTGGGGCTCTGAAAATACTGCACTTTAACAGGCTTCTGCACCCAAGCGCAGGTGCAGACAATTACAGGGACGATGGCGAACGTAACGAGCGAGATGCAGCTTCCACCAAATTTGGTGAGATCCTTATTTATCTACCCGTTTGCCAGAAGAACATCCCTGTTGTAGGGTAGGAAAATTTCATGTCATGGTTATTGTGACTGCGACGAATCCACCTCGTCCCTTAAAACAACCTCTAACTTTGCGTGCCACACACACATTCCTGTTATACTGTGCTTGTGA